GCTGGCGTCCCCCTGTAGGTGACCAGAGATGGACCCAAATAGATCATACTGCCATAAGTTACAAGTTGAATGGCTCCATGCTGGTTTGTCGCTCATTCTGGAGTACTGGCGTCGACGCTGATCATGCCTTGGTACGTTGTCCTTTTTCTATGATATTTACCGGGATGCTGATGACCAAGCGCCTCCCCCCATTGGCAACTGCGCAAGTATCCCGGCCCTCGGTCAGGCAAGTCTGCAAAGATGCACTGCGTATCGAACTTTCGCTCCCTTGTCTTGATGACACCGAGCTTCAGTGGGATAGTATTTCGGCAGCTATTCACGTCACAGGATCATCTGCTTGTGGTATTATCAATTGTCGCCACACCCGTCACTGAATATCCGAGATGTTGGTGAACCTGTTGGAATCCAGAAGAAACCTCCCGGATCGCTCGGACCACAATGTGGCCGAATGGACTATTCTGCGCGAACTAAAGCGGAGCCTACGGGCGTACAAGGAAGCCTGGTGGAGCAGTCGGGCTCGATAAATGGAGGAGGCCGGAGCAGTAGGCAATTATCGCAAGCTCTTCCGCACCACTGGTCCAAGGAAGCTAGACGTCAGTGAGACAATCAAAGAGCGCGCGTGTCATGATTCACAATAAGGAGCGCCGTATGGCTCGTTGTGTTTAACGCTTTCAAGATCTGTGCAGTTATCCCCCTGCTTCCGGACCTCTTTTTACTCAGCTGACGCAAGCTGAGCCATGCACGGTTAGCTCAGATGCTCCCTCGGAGACTGAGGTCTGAAACGCGATCACAGCCCTCAATCGTTTTCGTGCCGCTGGCCCGGATTCCCCCCCAACTGCACTATTTAAGCATGAAAGTGAGGTCATCTGCAAAGCACTGACCTCCATGTTCGAACATGTCTGGAAGGAGGAGACTGTCCCGGCTTACTGGAGCAAATCGATTATAGTGGCAATGTACCAAAAGGGCAGTCGCACCGGCTGTGTTAACCACAGGGTATTGGCCTAATGCCGGTAGTGACAAAATTACTGACCTCAATTCTCGTTTGTCGCCTCACTCTGCGGAACAAGAATCCCAGATTAGGGATCAGTCTGGTTTCCACTCAGGATGGGGTTGTGTAGACCATATTTTCACTCTGCGACCGGTGCTAGATCAGTGCCACGCATACTGCCCACTCGACAATAGCTGTGTTCTTCTATTTCAAATGTTTGCGATTCAGTCGATCGATGCTTTCTGTCCGAAACACTTGCGCGGAATGGTGTTCCCATGAAATGTGTGAACATTTTATGCGCCCTATACTCAAACACTGCAGGCTGCGTCAGAGTCTACGGTGACCTGTCGGATAGCTTTTCGACAAAAAGTGGCGTTCGTCAGGATTGCCAAATTTCCCTTTTTTGTTCACTTTCCTCGTGGACTACATTATGGAGTGTTCCGTTACTGAGTCTCACGGTACAGGCCTTGAGATGTTGACTGGTGCAAGGCTAGTTGATCTTGATTATGCGGACGATATCATCTTGCTTTTTGACGACGTCGGCGCGGCCTCTAGCCTCTCTAGAGTGGTCCATTATTTGGTATTCGCTTGGCACCTTCAATGTGCAAAGTGCTGTTGCAGGACCACCAGCCAATTGATGCCCCCTTTGGTCGCGAGGAACTCAAGGTAGTTGATGAATTCAGTTACCTTGGCAGCTGTATCAGCGATAGTGGGCGCATAGCAACCGAAGTCAGTTCACGTATTGCAAAAGCTAAACTGCCTTTTTGAATCTGCGACACCTGTGGCGTCCGAAAGGGGTTTTCCATCGTCTAAGAGGCCGTGTTTACAAGGCCACAGCGAGACTTGGCCCCTTTGGTCTGAAGATCCGAGGCGCATGTGAAGCATTGCTGATATCGGATCGCGCAAGGCCCGAGTGAGCAAAAATTAACTTGGCAGCGTGAAATGAAGTCACTGACAACCAAACTCGGTATCGTCGGTCCGTCTCGCCTTCTGGGTTGGAGTTCACGTGATTCACCTTGTGTTTGGCTCTAGACTTTACAGGACATGAGTCGCAGTCGGCACCAGTAGCGCGTCTGCTACCGTTTCCTACTCGGATTGCTTGTTTAAAGTGTGTTTGGTGTTGAGTTATCTGCGGGGTAATGGCTGCTTATGACACGCGGCAGTGAAAGCCGCATGGCAGCTGTCTCGCTGATGCCGCCTACTCTCTGCACGATAGCCAGCTGTTTGTGATGGGATGTTGTTGACAAGGTGTAGGCGCCTTGACCTTGAATGTTTTCTTAGGGTATTGAGGTTTTCCGGTAAGTTCCCCTTCTCTCCCTCTTATCATTCTTCGTTCCATTGGTCTTTATGGTTGTATAACAGCGGGGCATCAGTTCAAGTGGCTGATGTGCTACTGTTGATGACGATGATGGTGATGGTTACCTCTGTCGATGTTCTCCCTATTTGTGGTTTAGGCATCTTTAGGGGTTTCTCGTTCCCTGGTGGTGGTGCTGTGGTGCGATTACCCCGTACTTCGGTTACAGTCCTGATGGTCGACTCAACCTCGTTTAGTTCCCATGTAAGTCAAAGACAAGATTCATCGTACCTGCTAACGTCCAACCGTCAGAGTAACTGTCTGCCGCTTTGATCACTGACATTTTTTTATTTGGAATCGATTCTTTTGGTGTTGATTGTTACCCAGTGAGTACTCTCGTCAATGTCGGCCGGTGATCGTAAGGGTTGCACACCTGCTTTGTAATCCGGAGGTCACTGGTTCAAATTCACCTAAATGCGGGCGACCTCGCGGTGTAACCACCCATCACGAGACTGGTGGTGGTGGCGTGGTAGAAAAGAGTAGGTACTCCGTGCCGACGTATTGTTGATGACTTTCTTTTTTCTTTCTTTCTTGTCAATGCTAAGATGCCAGCTATACTCATCTCGGGTTCACAACGCCTCCCTCTAAGGTGTTTGTCTAACGTCCCACAACCTTCACGTGGGGTTCCAAACAGAATTTGGTCTAGTCATTTGGCATAGCTTTTGGCTGGACAATAGCAAAATGCGCTAGTTGTGCGCCATCAATTTCCCCCTTTATTTCAAAGAAACCATTGTAAAGAGCTGATACACTTCTGCTGTGGTGATGAAGAGGATGACTACGCGAACACCACGGAAGGTTGAAGACTTTCATTCACCAAATGTTCCAACTTGATCTCTCAGAATAATTTCGAAAGACCACGAAGAAGCTAACTGTCTAGAATTAACGGTTTTCGACTAGACTCGACTTTCTTGCTAGTACAAGCTGGCAGTTTACGTGCTCCCAGTTCATACCACGACAGTACCAACATGAAGTGATATCAAAACTTTTCTTATTTTCCAATCCACATTCAACAACTGCTCGCTTCGAAAAAATCGTCCCTTGTAATTTTAATACTGTGCTTTTTTATTCATATGAGATCTGTGCTTGTGGGGTGATTTACGGCGGCCATCTGCAGTCAGACTGCTTTCCACACATCCGGAGGAGCAGTGAACAGTCATTTCGTTCCATTGGGGCTCCTCGACGGTGCTCTTCACCCTGCAGTCTTACAGGCTCCGAGCTCGCAACCATCTACTTAAGAGAAAGTCGCTTAGTAGTGTCTGACGGCGATGCACTATCCTGAATAATTGTTTGCTGCGATCTATCGGGATTCATCCTCCCTTGTCGTGCCTAGGAGCCTGTTAGCTTTTAAAGTGACGACTTGTACTCGGCTATCAGTCATTTTATGCCATCTTAAGTCATCTCAGATACTTACTGATGGCTGCAAATGGCACTCGGGTTCTGAACTGTTCTGCAGCTAATCGTTGCGGCCGAATCCAGTCAGGCCTGTGCTTTACTCTCACTTTCCTTCACTGTAGGCTGACACCCCTGATCGTGATGTGCACAACGATTGTGTAGGCCACCTGTTCTCCCCGTCTAGACCGCGCACTGTGAGTTCAGATAAAGTTTATTCGCTTCACTGGTTGCTGGCGGTTGTTATCGCTTCACACAGCATCGAACATACAAAAATGAACACAGTTGCTCACTTTTGGCCCCTTTTTACGCTTAACGACACCAGCCCTTTTAACTACATCGACGATATTTCTTGCTTGTGACACCCCGCCCATTTTACCGAGGAAATCGTATTTCCAATTGTAATTATTGGCACAACTCTCTTTTACGTTTTAACTTACTGATCTCTTGATCCGTTGAATACACCTTAGATCGTATGTTTCCTTTTAAGAAAAGTGCACCACTCAATGTGACCTCGTGTGTTTTCTTGCATCTGTAGTTTGATGAGTTAAGTCTTAGGCAGGAGAACAATTAAGCTCACCAGACAATTTCCTGAACTAGAGCGCTTGGTCGCAAGGCACCAGGGAGATGGTACCGATCCGGTATTAAACAAATGGACGCCAGCCCGTCGACTAGAAGTAACGAGCTTGTCTCGCAATCTTGCGGCGCGGCTTTCAGCCTGCGTAGAGGAAGTGCGACCCTCGCAGTACCCTTACCTCAAATGCGACCGGTGGTGATTGCACGGCAACAAAGCGTCGATTCCTCGTACCGGCGTACTGCTGATGCCTTTCTACTTCATTTCCAGCTCCCAACCGCTCGCTCTCAAGTGGCCGGAAGACACAACCCCTTGGAGCTCAATAGACCGAAGAGGTACACAGACCGTAGCACCTTCTTAATGTCCAGCCCGTTCGCGACGAGGAGCATTAAAATACTCAATGAAGTTGTCACCGATGCTGCCTTTGTACGCTAGGCAACTATTTGTTGCCGTGTTTTTGACAAAGTGTAAGCACCTTGATCACGAAAGTTTGCTTAGTGCATTTAACTTTTACACTAAGTCACCTTTTGTATTACTCTTCACTTCTTAGTTCACTGTGGTTTAACTGCAGCAAGGCATTATTTCAAAGTACAGACGTACTTCGTTATTGTTATTGATGATGAGGGTGTGAACCTTTAGTTTCATTCGTGTAAATTGATCGACGTAACTAACCTCTGAATTTTTCTTTTTCCCAGGTGGCCTATACCTTTGATGCTGGCCCGAATGCTTTTCTTTTTGCCGAAGAGGCTGACGTACCATGCATTTTGCACTTTCTCGTATTGTGCTTCGGGAAAAAAGTGCTCCAAGATCACGCGGGGTCGGCATGTGTCACTGCTGCAGAGCCCAATGGAGACACTAAAACACTTGATTTCGATGGTTTGTCGTATCCCGCATACTCAGGCCCGGTTAATATGGTAAGTGTGATTTGATCTTTCGATCCCAGTCCTGTATAGTTGTTCCTTTCATTTCGCATCTCTTTCCCATAGATTTGTATGAGCCTCCTGCAAATTGCCGGTTAAACGTCTGTAAGCCTCTGTCTTTCTACATCCTAAGCAACGCAGTCTACTCTGTCACTTTTCAGTCTATGCGGCTAGACACCACTCGTTGTCTCTTTTGTTTGACTCTTAGATGGACTACTTCTGAGTCATAGTACATCTGGTACTATTGTGACTTCTGGGTAGTTTATAGTCAAACAAGGATATATCGTAGTACTTGTTTTGTAGCTTTGTTTCTGGTACTCGACAGTTATTTTTTCAGGTATTTGCTATCACTATTGGTTCAGGGCATCTTAGCATCCATAGCCGTTTATGCCATTCCCAGCCGAAATGTGAAATATCTTGAGAGCCCACTACTACCACTTTGCACATGAGTAGCTGGTCGCTTCAAACGATCTTCTTACAGTTCAGCGCATTTACTTCGAATCGAGTAGCCAATCACTCAGTCAGTGGGACTTTTCTCGCCGGCTTACTAATATGCCAGAAACCACTGCTCGACTTTTGTAATCAGAACCTCAGTCCTCTTGGCAACTGCGCATATCGGTGACCGCCACTTACTTGTATATCATTGAGTCTGGTAGTAATGAATTCTATTTAAATAGCCCCAAGTGTTTTAGCGACAGATCGTTTGTGTGTGCTTCATCTGTATTGGTTTTGCTCCACTCGTCCATACGACTCACATGCATACTGGCTTCTATTTGCCCTTTCAGAAGCTCAACGTGAGCTCTCTTATGCCGACCATGTGTTTATTTTACACGCTGTTTCTGCTGTGCGCGTATGTAGCACCGTAAGATTGGTTCGGATTTACGTCCTGTTTATTTTATCGTTTCCCTTTACATCCCATTCCAATCCTCCTACCCTCGACATATAAACGTTGATGAAACCTAACGTTCTAGTGCTCAAGTATGTGCTAATTCTACCAGACACCTTTCACCATCTCTTTATGTTATCTGCTTCGCTCGCTGAGTTGCTTCTCTCGCGTTTCTTTTAGTCACTTTTGTCCAAGTTGCCTCGATACGGAGGTGGTATTATGCGAGTAATAAGCACAGAGGTGAGTCCCGCATCTTTTGTCCCCTGTGTGTAATCTGTGCCACCTTCCTCAGAGTGGCGTTCCTATCTTGTTCCACACATTTTTATCCTTTTACTTACTACATAGCTCGATGGATCGCATAGGCACTCAAACCATTGCACCAACTTACTGTCCGGTCTCGTCGCCATGGCATCAATCTGACCGGTCCCTCTAGGCTAGGGACCACGCGACTGACTCGCATTGGTTGGAAACGTTAGATATTCTGGCCCGCAAAAGATATTAATGTCGCCAGTGTTGTTCTGCTGTATTATTTGTTAGTCATCCTTTAATCCGACAAAAAATATTCAAAATAGCTCGTGCGAAACCAAACTACCCTCGCTTTCTTTTGCTATTGTATTTCGTTTTTTTCTGTCATAGTTTTGTGACCGGAGTATATATATATATATATATATATATATATATATATATATATATATGGCGGGAGAGCCTATCGTGCGCTGGGGCTGGTGGTGGCTAGATCCTAAATTGTTTACCCACTGCTGCTACTGTTGTGCCATGGGCACATGTCTTGGACACCTCGTGGCGCCCCCTAGGTGGCAGTTGGGTTACACCCCTCTTTTAGCTAACAGCCAGGACACCAATCCGCATGAGTCAGTGAACTGATCATATGCTAGACCCGCTGCTTTTCGGGTGTTCATTTAATCGAAGGCTTTGGCTAAGGACCCGAGTCGTTCTCCTGTCAGGATTGGGCGCCCTGCCAGTATCTTATCCATCCTCTTCGGAGGTTAGGAAGTGGTCGATGACCCACTTCCCGTAAAACCTAGCCATGGGATACAACACGTCCATGGGTTATAAGCTCACGCTCGATTGGCATAGAGCACGAGTGCCACGCATTGTCTCTGACGGTGGGAGGGCACCTCTTGGTGTTCAGTGGTTTGCTACTGCCCGCCTCAAGCCAGGCAGCCCCTGGTCAAATTGGTGCAAGCCCGCCAAAACCCACCTGCGTCTGGCCGTGGTCGCAGGTGCGTATATTACTACGGTCACAAAATACACACGACTCGTTTTAGAACCTCAAAGGCTACGTGTAACGGACCTCAAACAGATCACAATCTGTCTATGCAATCACATTTCCTAGCTAGATCTGCTCTCCACTGCCTTGTGGGTCTGGTTATTGTGTCAGAGGCTCCGGACGAAGTACCTCAAGCAAATCTCCAAACCACTCACTACTTTGTGAGTAAGGCTTGAGTCCCTCAAGCAAGCCTCCGAAGCACAAACACTACCACGCTAGCGATTTCCCACCAGTGCAATCGTATGCCTGCGCGCAAAACACTCAACATCGGGTGCTGGAACCTACGCACACTACTGGACTGGAACTCCAGCGAGCGCCCGAAGCGACGCACTGAACTGGTCGCGATGGAACTGGCGCGTTACCACATCGATATTGCGGCGCTCAGTGAAACCCTTCTCGCTGAGCAAGGTAAGTTGCATGAAGCAGATGCTGGCTGCACGTTCTGCTGGGTGGACAACGCCACCTCAGCACCACGTGAACACGGGGTCGGATTTGCAATATCCGATCGCCACTGGCCGGCTGGTGGGTGAGCCGACTGGCATCAGCGCGCGACTGATGACTGTTCGCCTGCTACTCGGAAGAGGTGTTTGCTACTTCCGTAAGCACGTGCGGTCCGACCATGTGTTATCCTGCTGACACGCGCGACCAATTCTACACGCAGTTATCCTCTGTGCCGAGGAGCGACTGGCTATTTCTGCTGGGTGGTTTCAACGCGCGCCTTAGGCGTGATGCATCTGTGTGGACAGAAGTTATCCGTCCACATGGCATTGGTTCAGCGAATGCGAACGGTGACAGACTGCTCTCACTGTGTGCCACTCACGGTCTGACGATCACGAACACTCGGTTTGCACTGAGCGCGAGTGATATAGCAACTTGGACGCACCCACGGAGTGGTCACGCTCACCTGCTCGACTATGTCATCGTACGTCAGCGTGATATGCGTGAAGTGCGCATGACAAGTGTACTGCGTGGAGCTGAGTGTGGCACTGATCACAACTTGGTGCGTACCAAACTGTACATATATTTCGTAAATCTATTTACTGCACTCCTGCCGTGAACCATCGTAAATTTGGCATTCTCTCCCTCGGTACTGTAGCAAAACATATTGAGCTGGAGAAGGTGATGGCTGCACGACTGGGTTGTGGAATGCATTACCGCAGTTGGCGACCTGTGGCACCACATTCGCGACCAGGTGACAGCTGCTGCCGAGGAGACCATCGGGCGCGCCTGATTGGTTTGATGAGAACAATGCGACGATTGACGCATTGGTGTCAGAGAAAGATTCATCATTTGCTGCACATGTGTCAGACCCCAGTGACTTGGGGAAGAAGAGTCAGTTTCGCAAACTTCGACGGCGACTGACCCGAGAGCTCCGTCGCATAAAGATGCATGGTGGACGGAGAACGCGAAGCAGATGGAATGCTACGCCGAACGCCGCCAACACAAGGAATCCTTTGACTCCTTGAAATCGGTGAATGGACCGAGATTGGAGCCGCTGAGGATGCTAATCAATGGCAGTTCAGGCGCTACCTGTACACAGACTGCAGACATAATGCAGATCTGGCAAAAATCACTTTGGCTGTCTTTTTAACAACCGTTCAGCGATCGACTGGTTACTTTGATTAGCCTAAAACTATAGCAAATGAACGGGAGTCTGGCGGACACACCGACAGTGGATGGTACGCAGAGAGCACTTGCTCAGCTGTGTAATGGCAAGTATGCCAGTGCCGATGGGATCCCGCCTGATGTATTGAAACACAGCGGACCCGCGTTAGTAAATGCGCTGCACCACCTGGTGCAACGCGTATGGGTTGAGGAGGAGGTGCCTCCTGAGCTGAAGGATGCCCTTGGGCTACCACTGTACAAGGGCAAAGGGAGCAAGCAATGTTGTACGAATTATCGTAGCATCAACTCGCTGAGTTGCGTGGGCAAGGTGATTGCCCGAATCCTGCTCAACCGCCTCGTCAGTCAAGTTGTGGAACCGAAGGTGGCTGAAGAGCAGTGTGAATTCCGTTCAGGGCGTAGCACCATCGATATGGTGTTTGCGGTTGGTCAGTTGCAGGAGAAGTGCAAAGAGCGACATCAGCCGTTGTACTCGCTGTCTGTTGATTTCACCAAAGCATTTGATACGGTGAACCTCGAGGCATTGTGGCTGGTGTTGGGTAAGTTTGGTTGTCCGCGTAAGTTTGTAAGTTTAATTGCATGGCTGCACGGTGGTATGCAGGCGAGGGTGCAGCTGAGTGGAGAGACCTCGGATGGCTTTGCAGTTGCCTCTGGTGTGAAGCAGGACTGTGTCTTAACTCCTGTTCTGTTTAACATCTATCTTCATGCCATGATGTCTTGTACTTTCGATGCTGCTTGTGCTTACGATGTTCGTGTGAACCACCGTATTGATGGTGGGTTGCTGAACGTCCATAGTTTCGGTACGAGAACCCTAGTCTGTGAGACAACTATCCGTATGTTGCTGTTTGCTGACGACTGTGCATTGTTTGCGCACAGCGCGGATGAGTTGCAGCACATGACTAGTGCTCTGACTACGACAGCGACCAAATTCGGGCTCACTATAAACAGCAGCGAGACTGTTTGTCTTTTCCAGCCTTCACCCAAAAATGGATCCGTGGGCCGACCCCAAATCCAGATTGCCGACGAAGTTTTGATAACCATTTCGAGATTTTGCTACCTTGGTAGTATGATAACAACTTACCAGCAGATGACATGCGAGCTGCGCAGCCGCGTATCGAAGGCGGCTGCTGCTTTTGGCAAACTGGAATGCCGTGTGTGGCACAACCACCAGCTCACTGTTGGGACGAAACTGCTGGTATATAAGTCTATGGTGCTGTCCGTTCTTCTATACGGCAGCGAAACCTGGACGATGTATTGGAAGGATGTCCGATATCTGCAGCGCTTCCATCAATAGCCTCCGCGCCGTATTATGCGCATCGGCTGAAGTGACCGAGTTGCAGACACAGAGGTGCTCTGAAGCAGTGGCATGTATGCAGTGAACTGCGTAATTCTGCTGAGGTACCTGAGGGTGCTCAGACATATTCGCCGTATCTATTCGACCCGGATACCGAAACAGCTACTTTATGGCCAAATGGATGTAGGGAAACGGCACATAAAAACTGCTTACGATACTAGGACGTGATCATATTGATCCTATCACGTTCTAATGTTGATTGCAGGTCATGGGAATCGAAGGCGGGTGATCGGCGTGCATGGCGCGATCTAAACACGGCAGTTGCCGAGGTGCAAGAGAAAGCCCTCATGTATGCAGAGAAGAAGCGGCAAGTGCGGAATCGACAAGCGTCGATGGGCTGTACTCCATCGATGTCGAACGCATGGTGCTGTAGCACGTACGGTCGCGAATACTTTAATCAGGCAAGTTTAGTTAGCCACGAGCGAGGCCACTCGCGTCCAGAATCGGAACGGCGACAAGTCCTGCTGAGAACGTCGGCAGAACTGGCGTAGCGTTTGTAGGTACGCTATATTCGATTTACTAACCGCGTGCTTGTGTGCTGACTTTATTTCAGGTGTTTGGCTTGCTACCTTTTCCTAGTATTAGTTTCTTACCGCATTTTATTTTGAACTTGCTTGATCTATTAAACTGCACGTTTTGTTTAAACTAAGGTGGTTAACTTCGCTTATTTTTTTCTCGTTCTTACATATGTGTCTTGATCCCTTTTTCCGCCATCCTGAATCTCTCACGGCTATTTTGCTGATCCATTTATTTCATATGCTAATTTAGTGGCATATCTGTACGGTGTATTCGATCTATTTTATTCGACATTTAATTTCATGTGATTGGCTGTTGCTTGACATCCCAGGTGTGGCTGCGCTTGATGTGCATGTTGACAAGGTGCCTACCTGTCTATTACCCACTACCTCGTCTATACTGGCTCCAGGAGACAGTTGGTCGTTGCTGCAGGGGACGGGGTGCACGGTCATTGTGGCCGT